ACTTTTGAACTACTTTCAAGATTTCTATTATTCAGTAGTTCTGAGATATCCTTGAATTTATATTCACCGTGGTTTGATCACCCCTATTCATACACTTGACTGATCCAGGTAGCAAACTTCAGGCAATGCATAAATCTCACAGAGTTTCCAACTGGGTATATTATTAATTCCTACTGAATATTTATGCAATGAATGCTATGTTTTTAGAGCAGTAGCTCTCAAACTTGGCTGGATTTTTAGAATCACTTGAGGGACATATTTTTTATTAGTACATTTTTTCTGTAAATCATGATTATATTTGACAGTAGTTGGTACATGTACATAACACATCTTGATCCATTTCTCATCTCTTCCCTCCTCCATCTTTTGATATTCTTCCCATTTGAGAAAGATTGTCTTCCCATTTTCTTTTTCTTTTTATATTTTGTGTTTTTCATATAAGAGAGGCTTTGTGATATTTAAGCTTATTTTTCTGTTTTATGTCACTTAACATCATGGTCTCAGGGTACATCCATTTTCCAACACATAACTCAAATTTATCTTTCTTTATGACAGAGTAGTACCCCATTGTATATAAATAGCACATTTTCTTTATCCATTTATCTTTTTTTTGGAAATTAATTTTATTGGTACAATTTGAATGTACATAACAATCACATTCATCAAAGAGAATTTGTACCTGTACATGGTATAGCTTGATTCCTCTTTTTCTCCCAGTCCTCTTTCCTTCCTTCAACCTTCTCTTACCCCCATTATCTATAAAAGCTTTGTTTCCATTTTTTCAATTCTTTTGTCACTTTTCCCCTTTTCCTTATTCCTCCTCCCCTTCACAATTTCCCTTTCCTTTTGTAGAGCTTCTTCCTCTTTCATGTTTATTATACATTTTGGTCCTTATTTACCCTTTCAAAGGGTCTCACAGCAGAGAGACAATGCAGTATTTACACATGTCCAATTGATTTCACTTAAGAGTATAGTCTCAAGTTGCATCCATTTAGCTACAACTGTCTCAAGTTTATCTTTATGGCTGAATAGTACTCTATTGTATTAAAAACCCGCATCTTTTTTAACCTTTCAACGGTTGATGGACATTGGGTTGTTTCCAAGATTTTGATTTTTTGCAAACTGTCCCTATAAACATAGGGGTTCATGTATCATTGTGGTGTGATGCTTTTTATTCTTTCAAAAAGTTACCCAGCAGGGGAATAGCTAGACCAAATGGAACCTGTAATCCTAATTTTTTTGAGGAATTTCCGTACTAATTTCCACGATGGTTGTACCAATCTGCGTTTCTACCAGCAGTGGAGAAGTGTTCCTTTTCCCCTACTGCCTCACCAGCATTTGTTGTTGGTGAATTTCTTGATAATAGCCATTCTTTTTGGAGTGGGAATGTCAGTGTGGTTTTAATATGTATCTCTCAGATGACCAGTGATGATGAACATTTTTCATATATTTATTTGCCATTTCTATTTTATCTGAAAAGTATTCATTTCAGATGCCAATTTTTGGATTGGGTCTTTAAATTTGGCAGGGTCTAATATTTTTCAGTTCTTTGCGTGATCTAGATATTAGTTCTTTATCTGAGGGACTTACTGACTAAAATGTTTTCCTACTCCATGGGTTGTCTGGTCACTCTGTTGGTGATTTCTTTTGTGGGGCAAAAACCTTCAAAAGGATGAGATCCCAGTTGTTGATTCTTTGCATTATTTTCCATGCAGTTTGTGTTTTGTTCATGAAGTCATTGCTTACCCCTATGTCCCCAAGAGTTCTACGTATTTTTTCTTCCAGCAGACCCAGTGTTTCTCTTTTATTATTTAGATCTTTGATCCATTTTGGTTTGAGTTTAGTGCATGGTTAGAGACATGGGTCTAGTTTTAATTTTCAGGATGTAGAAAGCCAGTTTTTCCAGAGCCACTTATTAAAGAGGTTATATTTCCTCCAGTGAATATGTTTGGCCCCTTTATGAAATATAAGGTGGCTGAGTGTGTTTGGAGTAGTTTCCGCCTCTTCTAGTCTGTTCCATTAATCCTTAGGTCTTTTTTTTTTTTTTTTTTTTTTTTTTTTTTTTTTTTTTTTTTTTTTTTTAATGCTAGTACCATGCTGCTTTTATCACAGTAAATCTAAAATACAATTTCAAGTCAGGGATTGTGCTGCTGCCTGTCTTGCCTTTGTTGCCCAGAATTACCTTTGCTATTTTATGTCTCTTCTAGTTCCAAATGAGTGTTTTTTCTAGTTTTGTGAGGTATGCTAATGGTCATTTGATTGGGATTTCATTAAATCTGTATAACAATTTTGGCAGTATGGCCATCTTTTTTTTTTTTTTTTACAGGGGATCGAACTCGGGTCCTTGCACTTGCGAGGCAAGCGGTGGAACCACTGAGCTAAATCACTGGTCCAGTTGGCCGTTTTCACTATGATGGTTTGACTTATCTAAAGCAAGGGATATCTTTCCATCTTCTGATATCATCTTCAATCTCCTTTTTCAGATTACTTTAATTTCCTATGTATAGGTCCTTTATTTCCTTTGTTAGATTGATTCCTAAGTGTTTCCTTTTTTGGATGCTATTGTTAAAGGTGTTGTTTTCCTAATTACTTTCTCAGTGAGTTTGTTATTTGTGTACGGGAATGCTATTGATTTTTGAGAGTTGACTTTGTATCTAGCTGTGCTTCTGTATTTGGTTATTATATCTAGAAGTTTTTAGGTGGAGTTTTTGGGGTATTCTATTTAGAGAATGTTATCTGCAAATAATGATAATTTAGCTTCTTCCTTTCCAATCTTTATGCCTTTTATTTCTTTTTCTTCTGTAATTGCTCTGGCTAATGTTTCCAGAACTATGTTGAATAGGAGTGGTGGTAGTGGACATTCTTGTCTTGTTCCTGATTTTACTATGAAAACTTTCAATTTTTGACTGCCTAATAAATATTATGTTGGCTGTTGGTTTGTTATAAATGGCTTTTATCAGATTGAGGTAAAGACCATCGATTCCAGTTTTCAGAAGGGTTTTTATCCCTTTTATGAATGGGTGTTAGACTTTGCCAAATGCTTTTTCTGCATTGATTGAGATATCATGTGATTTTTTTTGTCTTTAGTTCTGTTGATGCAGTATATTACATTTATTGATTTCCAAATGTTGAACCATCTCTGCATCGCCAGGATGAATTCTCCTTGGTCATGGTGTATAACCTTCGTGATGATTTGTCACATTCTCTTTGCCAGTATCTTATTGAGGATTTTTGCATCTATGTTCATTAGGGAGATTGGCTTGTAGTTTTCTTTTTGGTTGGGTCCTTCTATGGTTTTGGTATGAGGGTAGTACTTGCTTCCAGGAATGATTTTGGGAGTATTTTTTTTTTCTTCTATTTCATTAAAAAGTTTGATGAGAATTGGCAATAGATCTCTAAATTTCTTGTAGAATTCAGAAGTAACACTGTCAGGACTTGGGCTTTTCTTTGTTGGTAAAGTTTGTAATTACATTTTCAATTTCATCGTTATTGGGTTGTTTGGAATTTTTATATTTTCTTGGTTCAGCTTTGGTAATTCATATGTATCTAGAAATATGTCAATTTCTTCTGTGTTTTCCATCTTAGAGTACAGGCTCTCAAAGTAGATGATGATTATCTGGATTTCTGCAGGATCTGTTCTGATTTCACCTTTTTCAATCCTGATTGCATGAAATTGAGTTTTTTCTTTCCTTTTTTGGATTAGATTTGCTAAGGATTTGTCACTTTTATTTAATCTTTCGAAGAACCAACTCTTCATTGGTTCTTTGTATTTTTTTCTTAGTCTCAATTTCATTAATTTCTGCTCTGATCTCTTTGCACATATTTTCCCCTTATTTCCTTTCCCTTCCCCGTTCCCCTTCCCACTTCCCCTTTAGCCATTTCTGCTCTGATCTTTATAATCTTCTCTCTTGTATGAGCTTGGAGGTTGATTGGTTTTTCTAGATGTTTGAGGTTCAACATTAGGTTGTTTTTCACTGTTTTCCTGATGTGAGAGTTCACCTCTCTATATTTCCCTCATAGGACTGCTTTCCTCATGTCCCATAAGTTGCAGATGTTGTACTGGCATTGACATTTAATTGTAGATCCTGTTTAATTTCTTTTTTAATTTGTCTGTGACCCATTGGTCGTTTAGGAGGGTGTTATTTAATTTTCATGTGTTTATGAAGTGCTTGTGATTTCTTTTGCCATTGATTTCCATTTTCATTGCATATGATCAGATGATATGCATTGGATAATTCAGTTTCTTTGCATTTGCTTAAGTATGTTCTATAGGCTAGTATGTGGTCTGTTTTGGAGAATGACCCATGTGTAGCTGCAGAGTGTGTATTCTGATGTTTTGGGTTGGAACACTCTGTAGTCCCCAACTAAGTCCATTTGTTCACAGGTTTGGTTCATTTCTGATATTTCTTTATTGAGTTTTTGTCTAGATGATCTGTCTATTTGTGACAATGGGGTATTAAGGTCCCACATTACAATTGTGTTTATGCTTATTTGATTTTTTGTATCTGTTAATATTTGCTTTATGTAGTTGGGTGTACCAGCATTTGATGCATATATATTTATAATTGTTATTTCTTCTTTTATTTTTCCTTTATGTATGTAGTGACCTCGTCTCTTTTAATCAATCTTGGCTTAAAGTTCACATTGTCTGCAAATAGAACCAGCTACCTGTGCTTTCTTCTGGGTTCCTGTTGCATGGAATATTGTTTTCCATCCTTTGACTTTCAGTCTGTGAATTTATTTTTTAGCTAAATGTGTTGCTTGTATGCAGCATATTGTTGGATTTTGTTTCTTGATCCATTCTGTCAATCTTTCTTTTGACTGGTGAATTGACGTTTATAACTGATGTGTTTCAATTTATTTCTGTCATATTATTTTTCTACTGTTGGTTCCTTATCTTTCCCTTTATTTAATTGCTTGCCCTACCTAGAGGCTCCTTTCTTTTGGTGTTCTTGATATTGTGGTTTCATTTTCTCTTTCTAAAATGCCCTTCAGAACATTTTGTACAGCTGGTTTGTTGGTTGTGTTGTGAATTTCTTCAGATTTTCTTTGTTATGTAAGTCTTTTATTTATCCATTGCTTTTGAAAGATAGTTTTATAGGGTGCGTCAATCAGGAGTTTGTTTTTTTTTTTTGTTTTTTTTAGACTTGGAATATCTTACTGCGTGCTTGCTTTGCCTTAATGGTTTGTTTTGAGAAGTGTGCTGTTATTCTGATCAGCTTTCCTTTATAGGAGGTATGTTTCTTTTCTCTAACAGCTTTTAATACTTTGTTCTTGTGCTGAATTTCCAGGCTTTTGGTTATTATATACCTTGGTGTAGATTTGTTTTACTGATAGGTATTTGGACTTCTGTATGCCTCACTTGTTTGTAGTCCAGTTTTTTCCATGTTTGGTAAATTTTCTGCCACTACATTTGTGAACAGGTTTTTATGGCAATTGCACTTTCTCCTGCTCTTTAATTGACTCCAGTCACTCTTATATTGTTTTTCTTTGCATCATCTTGGAATTGTTGGATTGATTTTTCACTGCTTCTTGTTGTTTTTCAGATATCTTTCTTTTTATGGTCGGCAACTGCAATTATGTCTTCTAGATCTGAAATTCTGTCTTCACTCTGATTTAAATGATTGCCTTCACTTTCAGTGGAGTTTTCAATCTCCTGGATTCTATTTGAATCTGTTTCATGTATTCCATTTCTGTCCTGTGTTAGGTGTTCATGGTTTCCATCATTTTCCATGTACTTCCATTTTTAAAAATGTTTCAACTCTAGTTTTGTTGAGCATGTCCTTCATTTTAATTGTTATTTCTCTTTTTTACCTGGAGGATTGTTTTCTCCATAGCCTCTTCTGTTTATTTACTTCTGCAGCTATCATTTCAGAAAATTTAGGTAGGTTGCTTCCAATTTCCTCTATCTTGTTGTCCCCTGTACTTGTCCCAGGTGGACTGGATGCCTAGGGTTGCATTTTGCTTCTATATCTTGTCATTTTCTATATTTTAATTTTATTTTGTTTTTCTGAGTTGTTGCTTGTAGTTTTCTTATGGTAGATAGCTTTATCACTATTGTTGAGGCTTCAATATTATTATTATTATTATTATATTGAGGCATCTCTGTTCCTCAGAGATGTCTTCTAGATGTAGGTGTTTCTTGGTCTTTGTGTTATCCCAAGATCCTACCTTACCAATCGAATGAGGATAATAGGAAATTAGGCATTTAGCTCATCACCCAGCTTTTTTGTACTGGACCATGGTGGTGGTTGTGACTCTACACAATCTGTCCTTAGCCCTGAAAAAAACTCATGCCCATCTCATTGTGCAAAATGTTAAGAATTGCCCGAGTCTTTAACAATTCCAGCCTTGCTGAAAAGTGCCACGTCCAAAGTCCTCTGGGGTCTACAATGCACTTTCTGCTTCACTTACAGCTCCACATGCTGCCGTCTTAGGAGCCTACTTCTGGCCTAACAGGGCTTCTGCAATCTGGATGTAAGCCTCTGTAACCCCACCATGCTGGCATTCTACATGCAAACACATGTGACTTTAGGGAACACTTTAGACCTAGACCGTAATAGCGAGGGTGCTATATTCCTGCATTAAATTAGTTGCTTGGCTGTTGCTTGATCTTTCTCCATTATAGGAATGCTAGAGACAGCCTCGGCCTGTGGATTCGACACACTTCATGTTCAGTGATACATGTGATGGATCTTCAAGTATTTGTTGAACAAAGGGATCTACACATATTTTAAAAATGATACTGAGATTTTTCTTTTTGTTTTTTATTTATGCATCTTTACATGGCATGCATTTTATAATCATCTTTGGGAATGATATATGTTTGTAATGCAGCTTGCTTTTTAAAAACATCTCCTTCCCCTTCCCTCACACTCCCTCTTATAAATCCCTTTTCACCATTTCATTCTTATTGCCGTTAATGATCTTACGTTTATACAAATAATGTTTACATTCATCGAGATTATTAGGTTCCTGTACATGGCACATCTTTTATTCTTATTTCTCCTTGTCCTTTCCCCTCCTCTTGACCTCATCCTCTTGAAGCCCTTCCCATTTGCAGGACATCTATCCCCTTGTCTCCTTCTATCCATCTTTTATTCTCCTCTCTGTACTTTGCCTTACTCAAGTGGTGGGAACGTAAACGAATACAACCATTATGGGAATTTCTCAAAAGAACTAAAATTTAAAATTTCGTATGACCCAGCTATCCCCCTTTGAGCTATCATCCCCTAACTTGTTTTAAAGTAGAGGGATTTTTATGAGTAAAACAAGAAAGGTTCTTGAAGCCTGGAGCATCTGACGAGAGACAGGATCTTCAGTTGGATTGCAGAAAAGTTCTGTAAAAGTGTCTCATGCTATGAGCAGTGGATGCTTTAGAGCAAAAAGTATATCAGATCACCACAGCTAACCCTAAGGTGTAGGGTTTATGCAGGATGGTAGTTCTCTAGCTTGTTGGTTGCAGGTGAGTCTTGGACTGGGGCTCAAGTATTCACTGGGGTGGATCTACTTGCAAACTTAATCTCTAGTGGCTGTTAAGCAGCCATAGAAATATATTTCATTTAACTCAATTTATTACAAATATTATATGAACATTTAATATACAAAAGTACTAATGGATGTTTAATATATAGTACCAAGTCTGTGAAAGGTTGTGTATTTTATACTGGTAGTTTAATTCAGTTCTGATTCTTTTGCATTGAAAGTACTTGATCTGTGTTTAGATGTCATACAATTCATAGTTGAAAAAATAGGTATAGACTTTTTGTTGGTATTACTAACAAAATACAACATCATAATTATTATAAGTATTATAAGTTATCTAGAGATGATGTCAAGTATAAAGGAGGCTATGCCTAGGTCGTATGCAAGTGACATTTATTTAAGCTATTTGATCACCTGAAGAGTTTCAAATATGTGAATCTTCTGGAACCGGTCTCCTGTGAGTGACAATTGTAATTAATGTGGTTTTGGATCATTGGTCATACTTGTGTGGAGATACGCTGCTGGCAAAAAATTTGAAGTGACAATGAATGGCTTGTGGTAGGGACTTGATATTCTGGCGTTGACATATAAAATAACTGAGTGTGGGAAATTGGCACCAGAAGTTTTTCAAATATTTAATTTTTAGTTTGTCATTCTGTTCATCTCTTTTTCCTACTACATATGCTACCCTAGAGAAAGACACTTGGAATTGGAGCTCCTTTTCCAGGCTTGCATTTCCTTGGGATGGGTAGGTTGCCCTAGGAATGGGAATAAGGGTTCTAGCCTTAGGATTCTTTTGAATAAGTGATTGTAAATTAGTTCAGCCACCATGCCCTGACCCAGTTCTAAACATCTTGTCTCTATTTCCCAAATCTTTGGATGTTAAAGTTAAAGGGACCTGAGATCATGTAGTCCAATAGTTGTGTTTTGGAAATAAGGAAATGGAACAGACAAATTAAGTGATTTATTTAAGGTCACACACGGTGATCACAGGTTTTCTGCTATGTCCAGTAGGTGTGTTGCTTCCCAACTCCATCTATGGAGGTAGCAGCCTCTGGTGGTGTAAGACTGTGTACACATATGGCTCCTATATTGTCTTTATAGTTTAGTTGGATTGACCTCATCAAGGTTATGGGGAGAGGGTAAGGATTTACTGTACCGTGTTATGTGAGACAACTTTTGGGATAAATTTCTTTGCCTTTGTAAAGCACAGTTGACAATGACAATTGCTTCATTAGATTAAATGTTTAAAAACGAGTCTGCACAAGACTTGGCAGTAGATATTCAATAATTACATTTTTCTCTGCTACTTAGCTTTTGCTCATTCACTGGGGGGGTACTTACTTTGTATAACTGTTTGAACTTCCAAGTGAATGACACAGTGTAGTTAAGATCACTGGCTTTAGAATCAGACAAATTGAGTTTAAATCTCAGCTCCACTACTTACCAAGTGATCTTAGGCAAGTTTCTCAACCTCTGCATACATTTGTTTCCTCATCTGGAACATGAGGATGGTGGCACTTGTCATGTGGTGTCTTGAGGATGAATTCATACATGTGAATATACATGTGTGAGAAAGGGGATCGGAGGTAGAGAGGAGAAGTCAAGAGTTTTGGTTATATGCAATCTGAGATGGTTGTGTGAAATTTGAGATGCCTGTGGACATCCAAATGGAGATAGCCATAAAATTTTTAGACATACAAATTACAGGTAAATAAACAGTAAGTGTTGGAGATGTGAATTTGACACCCATCCACGTATAGATGATATTTAAAGTCTTGGGCATGATTGCATCACCTGGGGGTGGAGGCTGTGGAATGAGACTAAGAAAGGGCACAGAATGGATCCTAGAGTGCTTCACCTTTGGGAAATCATGCATAGGAGATAGAAGGCTAGACTGAGGAGTAGCTGTGAAGAGGGAAGAAAGCAAGTTGTGTTGCCACACAAAAAAACACAGGAAAAAGTTCAAGGTAGAGGGTTTGGGCTTGTGAAATGGTGCTGAATGTGACCAAGAGGACAACGATAGCGTTCTGTTTGATTTGGTTCCAAATAGGTCATTAGTGACCTTGACAAGAGAAACATCAACTAAGGGTCATGTAGTGTCACGGTTCTCTCTTGTTTTCCTTTATGGCATATCTTTTGAAACCACTTTGACATGTGCACTCTGATTTGAAATTAGACTTACCAGCAAAAAGGAGTTCTGTTAACTGGATTCTCTCAAAAGTACAATGTTATTCCCCATCTTGGAACAAATTTTATTTAAGTCTGTTGCTTGATTATGTACAGAGAGATTTAAGAAATTGGTCTACATTTAACAATTGAATGCAAGTTTAGGGGCTTTGAAAACATTTCTACTTACTTTAGAAGCCTGCTTTATGAACATTAATCACAATGTATCTTAAATTTGATATTCCTCTGTATTGAGAGGGGTGGGTTTTAAATTTCTCTTTGGTCTTTAGACTGTAATACTTAAAAGGCTAGTGCTTTAGATATAATTTGATTTTTACATTTTTGTCTTTGATATTGAATCTCTGTGTGGTACTTTGAATATATAAAAATACTATAAAGCAAACAGATGAAATCTCTTTAGGCTTGAGCAGCTTATAATGGATACAACTATGCTTCATATAACATTTTAAGGTGTTTGACTTTAAAGCCAAGAAAAATTTTATTAAAATTCAGTTGTTTTCACTGACCTACTTCTTTTTTTCTCCACCTATTGGAAGGATATGACTATTGACTGTAATGGAGTTTTAAACTTAATGACACAAAATTTTGAAATTCTATGTAAATTAAAATAATAAAAAGATCAATAATATAAGTAGATGTCAACTGCTGAATTAAAATGAGGCTTTGTTATTTTTAAATATTGGATATGTTGACATACCTTAATTATCATTATGAAAATCAAGTATAATATAGATATTTTTAATAAATAATGCAATAATCTGCCTAAGCAATACTTCACTATGTATTAACTTTAGCCCTGACTTGGTGAAAATTCCTGTCTGAAATGTCTTTTCAGTATAACTTCCTCTCCACGTATAAGCAGTTTCCAACTGATAGACATAGATAGTCAAACACTGCCACTGGTGAGGAATCCCTTGGTTAGGAAAAGTGATGTTAATATTTCTACTTAAAAGGAGGGGGGACCTTTGATGGTAATGACGGTATAATTTTAAAACATTAGTGATAAATAGTATTTATAGCTAGTATTCTTTGGCAGTCATTAGTGAATAATGCCGGGTGCCTCTCACATTACCAGAATTTTGTACATTTAAGTTTAGATATGAAGTAGATTTCTTACATTTATATTTAGATAATCTAGATTTCATTATTTTGATTATTTTTGCCATAACTTTAGATTTGGTGACATTTAATTTTGTTACTGCTTCAGAGCTTCTAACCAAAAAAACATAAGAACAGTAGGGGGGATATAAGTAGGTTAAAAATAAAGTTTTTTTTTAATTGCTGGTGAATATAAGGTCACATAAGTTAAATCTTAAAGCTGTTTAGGATTCAGGCCAAATCCAGACCTTCACCTGCTATTCTTTTCACTTCAGATTGCATTGTGTAGTAAATAGACTAGGTAAACACATTCCTATGTTTGCTGAGAATGGTCACAGTTGGGAGCCACCATATAATTGACCTTTAGACTCTGCCTATCTAAGCTTTAGTTTTTCTTAAGAACTGAGCATTTTCCTCTCATCTGTGAAGCTTACCTTGAGCCCTGCCTTCCCATCCCCACCCAGCTAGTGTTGGCTGGCTCTCCTTCAGACTTTCCAAGGTTACCCACCTATTGTATGCTACTTCATTTTGGCTTTATATCTTTTGCATCTTCACTTTTGAATTGCTGGTTCTTTATGAAAGGAACTTGGTCTCAGTCACAGGTACTTTGGATGTTTCAGTACCAAGGGTACGAAAATGTCTTAATTAAATTAATTACAAGACTTTAATGTGTTCTTATAGAAGTTCTATGTGAATAGTATTTCAATCGGTGCTTCTTTCTGCTATTCTTTGTTATGATAAGTTTATTGCTAGTAATTAGAGATGGGTTTTCATTACAGATTGATTGAAAGAATCTTAGGACTTAAGACAGCAACACACAACATCAAAACTGTGAGTTTTGTTGCAGTATGCATCAAACAGGGAAGACATCTCCAGCAATTTGAATTTGATCTGGAACTTGAAAAATAACAGACAGTGTATATAATGGTAGGAAGGATGAAGAGACTGGAAGAGAAATACACAGATATATTTGAGGTAGATGCTGGTATATTTATAATGTACCATAGACCTGACAGATTTTTAGGGATGGGATTGAGAAAGGAGAGTTTTGGCTTCAGGCAAATGACACAGATTTGATATGCTGAAATGAGAAGACTTGGAGAGTCTTTTAAAATTCATTTCTGTTACTGTTATACAATGAATTTTTCTTTCCTTATACTTCCTGATTGGTTTTTATATGGGTATAAGCTATGGACTTCAGCACATTAACTTGGTACCAAGCCACTTCACTGAATTCTCAGTTATAAAAGGTTTTTTGTTATCTACTGATTTCTCATCTCCCATGACTTCTCTGATCAACTATATCATTTTTATACCTATCTTAGATCAGTCATCAAACTTTGTTGTAATTTTGTATGTATCTGTCCTTCTATTACACTATGTAGAGGTGAGAACTGAATCACTCAGCTTTATGTCTCCAGTTGTAAGCTCAGTCTGCTGCAGTAATTGGTACAAGATAAATATTGACTATGCATGAGTGACTAGTTTCTGAAGATTAAAAACTAACATTTGATCCTTGTACGCTTGCTATGTGACTTACTCCCCCATTTGACCCCCATTTAATGACTATTACCTGAATAGTACTTGTAATCTTATTGGTTGGTCTTGGTTTTCCCCAACTCATGCCCCCTTTGTAATTTTCCATAGGGTCTTAATAGTTTTGTCCCACTTTGTACCCACCTCACCACATGTTGCATAAAACATCTTTGAAAAGTGGGGTGGGCAGGCAACCCACTTTTTGGTCCCTCTTCTGTCTCTCTTAGACGCTTTTTTTCCCTCAATAAATTTTTCTACTCTTAAAAGAAACTAAAATTTGAAATTAGGTAATATTTTTGTTCATTTAGATTGTTATGAACCTCCTATATAACAGCTTGTGAAATTCATTTTTTTGCTACTGTAAAAAGTATTTTCTAAAATTCAGTATGTCTAATTATACTATTAAAATTAAAACCTTAATGAGTTAATGTAAAATGTACGGCATCTATCTCTTCAAAATGACTAGTGTACAGGAGTACGTGGGTTTGTGAGGTCATAAATTTTGAAAATACTGAATATGTAGATGCTATAGTGAATATGTATGTTATGTTATTATTTGGTTATTTTTTCCTGAGGAAATAGACGGTGGAATTAAAATCTACTTTTCTAAGAGGGAAGGGAAGTATGCATTCTTCCTAAAGCAGTTAGCCTTTTATTAAAGTAACATTTTCAAAAGTTTTAATTTTTAGTATTTAAATAGAAACAAATATGTTATTACTCATAATTGCTATTTCTTTTTTTTTGGGGGGGGTACCGGGGATCAAACTCCCTGGTGCTTGTGAGGCAGGTGGCGGAACCACTGAGCTAAATCCCCGGCCCATAATTACTATTTCGTATTTCATTTTTTCAACGTCCATGTCATTGAATTGTCCCTTGTAAGTTTTTTTTTTTTTTTTTCAGGATGTCTGCTATTATTATTATAAATTAGTTAATGGGTTGGCTTGGTAAGTGATGCTGAAAAGTATTTATTAGAATTTATAAGATTTTTCATTGAAGTAGATGTATAGTTTATCAAATAGCCAACCACTTTTCATTGTTCACTTACAGGCACAACGGTAAATAGAGCCATCCATAGGCATGTTTCCTTTTGGTGGGGAGTTAGAAATTTAGTAGAGAGTTGAAACTGGTACCTAGCTGGGTGTGGTAGCACACACCTGTAATCCCAGCTACTTGGAATGCTGATGTGAGAGGACTGCAAGTTTGATCCTATCCTGGGCAATTTAATGAGACCTGTCTCAAAGTGAAAAAATAAAAAAGGCTGGGAGTGCAGCTCAGCAGTAGTGCACCCCTGGATTCCATCTGTAGTACCGTAAAAAGAAAAGAAACTGTTACCCAAGGGAAAACAAAATGGCACACATTATTCAACTTTTTGTTGCTGGGACAAAATAGCTGGCACACACAATTTAAAGAAGATAAGATTTTATTTTGGCTTGTGGTTTCTGAGGTTTCAGTTCATGGGCATCTGGCTTCCAGGGAAAAACATGATCGTGAAAGGACATGGAGAGGAAAGCTATTTACCTTATGGCGTTAGAGAAATGGGGGAAGAGGTAGAAAAGAAGGAATGAGAAGATAAAGTAATCTTCAGAGTCACTCCGTCAGTGACCAGGTTCATCCAGTTAGGTACTACATCCTCAGAGCCATTACGCTGTGAATGAACTAATCCATGATGAAGTCAGTGTCCTGATTATATTCCAGAAGTCCCACTTCTGGGCATATGAGTCTTTTGGGCACAGGAGATTTGTAGAATCAGTTGTATCTTCTGGACTTTGAAGGATGGGTAGGGCTTACATGGATAGAGAGACCGAAGGTGGAACACACTATGATTGGAAGCAAATAGACTAAAGGAGCCAAAAGCAATAGTTGTGATGAAAGTAAAATACTGATCTCCATCTAGACATTTTAAGGATTTTTATAATTTATCTTAACAAAGAAAATAAATTATACTCTTAATACGTAGGGGTGAACACATTCACTAAACTAAATGGATACAAATATGAAATCTCCTTATCCTGTCATTTTATTACCAAGTAATGTAGGCCTAGTGATTAGAAAAAAAAAAAAAAAAAAA